AACACACAGTTTCAAAACAAGCTCGACAAAGAATAGGGTAGGGCAGAACGTAGAAACAGTATTGAGCTGTCCGATGCCAAATGTTCCATTGCAAGAACAAAGCCAAAAAGGGAGGGGAAACCAAACGGAGACGGTGTACACATTCTGGTGACGACCCTCCGCCTGCTTTGGCACGGCAATTGATGCATTAACCGCTCTAAGGGCCTGCAGGTAGGCAATTGAAGCAAAGAACTTCGAAGTAAACTGCAACCGCGCGAGTTTCACTCACCGGCGTGGCGGTAGCCACGCACGCCGGTGCGTGGCTATCAGGAGCCACGGGATGGCTTGTTCTGTTTGACCGCTAAGCATCTCGAGCGCAGCCTGTGAATCCTGAGGTGCTCCAGGAGGTGAAGGGCATGCGCGAACCCAGCTGTTCGCAAGGCTTTACACGATTAGCATAAATGAATGCGGCTCAATGCAAGAGCTCGTGCTTTTTGACCAGATCGCTCTGCATGTTGAACGACAGACCTCGGTAGCCTCGTCTGTTCACTGGTATTTATACCCCATCTACATTCAGACAATGTACACGTAGGTAGGCGACTAAGTCGTGCATGGAGATTGTTTTACTGCGGTTTGCGCGTCCTGTTTGCTGTTAGACCCGCACAGTTCAGTATCGAAGCAGTTCATCAATTTGATGCTCTTCAAGCCAAAACGCTGTCGGTGGTGGCTGCCTCCTGCCGCTTCTCTAAAAGGAATGTCCGTACTTCCTTGCGCGAAGGTGCCGGTACCTATTAGGCATTCTCACTGAATCGTAGTGCACGGGCAAGTAAAGCGTTATGGTGCAGATTTTATGCCCGCTTAGCAACACATTTGGAATTCGCTTCCCGATTTCTCCCCAAGCACGAGGCACTGCACTGCGCTCAAAACGTGGTTTGTGGTCCCGTCTCTCGGATGGCAGTGACGGTGTACTCCCCTCAAAACAATCCAACACTGCAGCTGGAACCGTGAAGCCCTCTGATGGTGCTCTACTGCTCTGTCCTCGATGCTCGTTCTGTTCAGCCTGTGCATTGGGCTACTGAACATCAGTGGGTACAGTCTATGCAAAAGGCGGAGATGCTGAAGCGGTGCAGTTCGCGCCATGCGAGGAAGTGCAAGGAGAATAGCAGCAAATCAATATTCAGTTTTTTTTTTTGCAACAAAAAGGATGCTCTAAAGAGCAATGGTTGTGGGTTTGCTGATTGAAACAACTAAGNTTTTTTTTTTGCAACAAAAAGGATGCTCTAAAGAGCAATGGTTGTGGGTTTGCTGATTGAAACAACTAAGTCCCTGGTACCCTCCCGGCACCCAGCATTTGCTCGGCGTGGGCGGCTACTGCTGTTCAGCTCAGTGGCGAGACATACTGCCCACAGATCGAATCGAATTGGTGAGGTGGAGTCAGTGTGGAGTGAACGCTGCTGTATAAGGTTTCGCACAGTGTGTACTGCATCTCTATCAAAGCAGAGCTATCAAGCAAAGCGCCGTGCGTCTTGTGTTTGCTAATCTGCGCTACGGACGCAGCGAGTGCGCCGCAAAGCAAGCAGAGCAGACCCCGGCCTGCTTCAGCAAGCAAATTTCTTTGAAATATCCTTTTCGTGAAGAAGATTGAGTGAAGAACGCGTGTGAAGTACAAAACAAAGGCTAACCAGGAGTCCTCACTGCATTCGCGTATTCTCGAGTGAGACAATAAATTATGGATACCCTGTGCTTGTATTACGATACAACCCTATTAATATACATATGCCTGGGTTACAACAACTCGAACGTTATGAATGCATTAACAATCCCAGGTGTCCCACCAGTTTTCATGCTGAGCATCTCTCTTGTATGAGGAAGTCGAGCACGCGTGTTGTATATATTGTATACAGTCAAAGCAGCCGTGCATAAAGGCTGCTGCTTGAATGCCCACGAATTCCCACATAAAGCTCCTCCTGCTGCTCCGCGTCGAAGGTGGAAGAAGAAACAAGCAAGGGGCTTGCCAACCACCAACAATGCTTGGAGGAGAAAACACCAAACTTAAACTGCTTCATCTCAGCACCCCGATGCCCTTTCCGGTGTGCACTTGTCGTCCCTCTTGCGCCAAAGGGGCGCCTAAATGCTTTCAGACTCGACTCGGCGTTTTAACGGTCAAAGGCCGGGGGCCACATATTTCCCCCTCTCGGCTGCACAGAAAAGCCGAGTTCAACAAAAGCAAGTGCAGTTATTTTAAGTGCAACTTGTCGTCCGCTCGGTCTTCACGACGGGGAGCGGTAATCCCTCTGTTGACTCTGGAGGCAGAGCAGCAAGCTGCTGCCGTTTGTACTGTCGCATGCTCTTTCGCCGTTTGCTGTGGTTGCTGCTGCTGCTGCTGCGACGGCGGCTAACGGCGCTGTTGCGTGCGGAGTCGGGAACGTCTTCGTTCCCCTCCCGATCCCCGGATCCCACGAAATCCCTGTGCTGCTGCTCGAGCTGATGAATGTGCTCTTTAAGGATGGGGTGTTTTTCGAGCCACTGGTTGTACTGCGGGATATCTTTCTGCAGAATGCGGTGGAGTGTGTGCACCTTTGAATGAATGACTTTGCTGTCGGCAACCAGATGCTTCTGCTGGTTCGCAGAGAGCAGCAATTTTTGCTGCTCGTGAATCACTTGGCCAGCGGATACAGCGGCTCTATCCATCGTTGAATTCAGCTTATCAGTGAAAGACAGACTGAGAGCGCACACACAACACATCAACACCGACACAACACAATTGCAAACAAGTCCATCAATGTGCCTCCTCTTCCAGTTGCAAAAGAGCCACACGACGATCACCAGGGGCAACAGAAACCACGTAGCGGCCTGCTGCATCTGCTCATCTAACTTTCCGCATAGTGCTTTTAAGGATCCAGTGTTTTGCGTGTGCTCTGAACTGCATGGGAGGCCTTAAGGTTCCCCGCTATCTTAGGGGAGAAGAACGCGAGAGCTGTGGCGCTCAACTCACTTATCAGTCACTATATCCCTCATGGTGGCGCAGTGTTCGCAGAGTTCCGTCGTGAATCTGATATAGTCGGACCCGAGACCATGTGTGTCCTGCGTAGCAGTTTGCTGCGGCAGGGTGTATGCTGGGTTGGGGGCCCTTGGGGGCCCCTCTGGCGCGAGGCCGCAAGTCAAGGGGCTCGGCACCGAGAAGGGGAAAGGCGCTCCACAGTAGAGAGGAACCCCCCCTGGAGGAGCAGCACCAACGACGCTGCTGCCGCTTCCTGTCTCGGGAATTGCGGCCAGTTGAATGGGAGATAGAGAAGAATGAGAGTTTGTCGTTGTAGGCGTCTGGGGGTTGTCTAAGGAATGCGAGCAAAGATGAGAAAAATAGGACGCTGCAAACGACGTGGGGTCGGGGGCCCCAGACAGAAACTCCCCCACCTCTCCATCGCGGGGGCCCCCCAGCAGCTGCAGCTGCTGCAGGGGCCCACTGGAGTCTGCCCACCCTTCAGCCCCTGGGACAATCAGTCGCTCTGCCCCAGCAGCACAGACGGGATCGGTTACGGCGCCCGGCTGCAGCAGCAGCAGCTGCTGCTGCGCTGCTGCAGCACACTGCGGCGCAGGGAGATATGCGTCTGTTAGGAAGGGGAGAGACGGAAAGGGAGTACAGGGGGCCGGCACCGCGCGTCGGGCCTGAGGGCCCTCCGTAGCAGCATGCATTGCACAGCCAGACTCAAGAACCCGAAGCAAGTCCGCTGCAGCAGCAGCGAAACGAAGGCCAGGCGGACGTCCCACAGTGATGGAGTTCTTGGCTTCTAAGGAATCCCACGGAGGAAAGAGATGAGAGGATATGCGTTTTAGTGAACCTGCTGTTGAGTAACTAAGGCTGCTTATCGGACGGAAGGGCGCAAATATCTGCCGAGCTAAAAGCCTTGCACGCGAGCTCACGGCGGGGTTGTTGTAGGGGCCCGCAGCGGCATAAGACCCTCAAGAAGTACGCAAAGGAGTGGCAAGCTGCACTTAGTGAAAAAAACAACCCGAGGTACACGCGCCGAAGGCCCAAAGCGACGACGGCAAAAGCAGCCTGACACGGGCAAGCGGCAGATAAGGACAGGACTGACGGAGTCCCGTTTGCAGCTGAGGCGATGGAGTCAAGAGGCGAGGAAGAGGATGTGCGGAGAGTCAGAGAAGGACAAGTGGGGGCGGCGGTGCACCGATCTCCCGCGTCCGCGGGAGACACCTCGTGGGCCAAGGGGGGAAGCAGTAGACCTGGGGAGCTCAAGACACAGCAGACTGAATGTGGGGCCCGAGAGTACGGCCCCGAAGGCAGCAGGGATGCAGCAAACCCACCAAGACAGGCGGCAAGCGAAGCAGAGGCGCCGCAGGAGTGGAGAGGCGACAGTGCCAGGGTGCTACACAGTTGCAGCCCCAGATAAGCGATCGAAAACAGATCGAAACTGCTTGTGGGACTACAAGGAAGAGAACACTGGTTGAGTTTTCGGCTCGCCCGCCCGCCCCCAAAGGGAGAGCTCTCTGCCTGCACTGCCGAACCCGCTAGGTCTGCCTTCGGGAGCGTCTCTGCGTCCTAGGCAGAAGCACTCGACGGAAACAACCACAAAATAAAAAGCAAAGTGCAATAGACGTCGAAATGTACCAGAGAAAGCAAAGCTGTGTAACTCGGCAGGGACGGTAGGCGCGAGAAGAGAGCACCGGCTGCGTAAGAGGCACCCCTTGCTGCTAGGTGGGGCGCGACCTCTTACAGAAACCCTTAACCCAATTCTGTAAACATCCCATTTAATGCATTTAAAAACAGAAAGATCCTTGATAAGCCATTTATTTGCGTGCAATTACCTCCTCGCTTAAGGAATCCTGCACCCCCCTCTGGAGGCGAAAGTCGCCCCAAGGCGGAAACTAACGTACACCTCAGCAGGTCTATCGACACAGCGTACATATAAGCTCAAAGATAGCACCATATTAACCGTTTTTCACAGTAAATTCAAAGACATTTCGCTATTTAGGTGTTTGCTGCGGACTCTTCCTCGTCTGTCCCAGTGTGCGCCGAGCCCTCAGCTAACAACTGGATTCCCAAAGACATGGGAGCGCCACCTCGTTCGTTCCCAAATAAGAAGAAGATTGAGCTAATTGAAAAATTGCAAAATGAGTTTACATAACTAATTATTGCCATTAGGGACCAAAGGAGTAAAAAAAAACGCACGGGCTTAACACCCCTGCGTAATTACGAGGTGCTGTGAACAGCCGCATGAGGTTCCTCTACACAGACGCAACCCTCTCGTAGACAGGTTCAATTTCAACTTGTAAACTCTAACCTAGACACGAAATCGGGGTTACGCCATTACTGACGTCTTTTAACGGGGGGCCCTACGCTGCGCTCAGTGTCAGATGGTCTGCGGGCCCGGCTGAACTTCTGCTTTGTTACGCCGTCTGAGCGTTTTTTTTTTTGGTACTACCCCAGTTGTCTTTGGCAGACTATTAGCGCAAATTTCATATGTATCACTTTGCGCACTCCATCATCACCTCGTCATTGTGGTAGCTTTGTCGTCTCTATGCGGTAGGATGGAGCTAGTAGGAGACTTCCGTTAGAAGGCGTCGTTTCTTCCGCTNCTTTGTCGTCTCTATGCGGTAGGATGGAGCTAGTAGGAGACTTCCGTTAGAAGGCGTCGTTTCTTCCGCTATTTAACTTGTTATTCACGAAGTGTGCAGTGATTCTGTCTATTCAGAAGTTGGTTGACACATACGCTTCCCGAGATGGGGCCCGTCAAATGACATTACCTCTTCCATGCTGTTTAATTTCATCGTTTTGCTCGACAAATACGGGAGTCCGTGGGTTAAACTCAATGGTGCCCACCCCCTTTTACACTGCCATAGACAACTATAATGTGCATTGTATTTTCCAGTGGCATAAGAAATACTGCCATGCTTCTAGACACAGTGCGGATTTATATATAGGCTAAATCCAACGGCTGAAATAGTGACAGATTGGCGTTGACGATGTTTTTACTGTTAGTATATATATATATATATATATATATATATATATATATATATATATATATATATATATATATATATA